CATCTCTCTATTGATCATTGATGCAGAGAATTTTTTCATATGACTTTTGTCTTTTGTTCTTGGAGGGTGTTTACCTTCCATCTGTTATCCCCATCTTGTATCTGAATTCTGCTCTGCCATTTTATTTCATTTTTTCCTTTTGAGCCACACCTGCCAATACTCAGGGGTTACTATTCCTGGCTCTGCACTCAGAAATTAGCCCTGGACCATACGGACCATATGGAGTGCTGAGGAATTGAACCTGGATCAGCTGCATGCAAGGCAAGCACCACATCTGTTATGCTATCTCTTCGCCTTCCCCTTCTTCTTCCCATCTTTTGATGGGGTTGAATGATTTTTTTCTTGTAAAGTCCTACCAGTGCCTTACATATGGTTGATATTAACCCTTTGTCCCAGATGAGTGGTGAATAAACAATTTCTCCTAGTCTGTGGGATGTCTTTGTATTTTTGTCTTCATTTCGAGGTGAAAAAATTTCTTAATTTAGTATAGTCCCATTTGTTTTATCTTCGCTTCTACTGGCTTGGTGAGTAGCATTTCATGCTTAACATGTCATTACCTTCAATGTCATGGAGAGTTCAGCCTATTTTCCTCTATGTACCTATGGATACAGATTTGATATAAAGGTCCTTAATCAATTTTGATTTGACTTTTGTGCATGGCATAAGAAAATTATCTCCGAGAGCTTGTAGTAGTTTAGGTCTTCTGTGTATATACATATATCATCTGCAAATAGTGAAAGTTTAAGCTCTTTTCCATAGTTAAATTTCCTTGACCATGAAAAAACATTTTAGTTTTTGTAGTACCAAACAGAGTGAAGTACAGAGGAGTCTAAAGGAGGTCAATCACTTAAGCATTAATAAAACAAACAAACAAAAAAACCCCCTGTAAGTCATTGTTGAAAAATAGGAGAGAAAACCAGGAAATAGAAAAAAATTCCATTTTCATGGATTGGAAGAATTTGTTTTGTCAAAATGACTATCCTACCCAAAGCATACAAATTCAATGCAATGGCCATTAAAATATTGATGTCATTCTTCAAGGACTTACCACAAACGCTATTAAAAATTGCATTACAAAATTCCCTAAATAGCCAAGGCAATTATAAAATTTAGAAGATGGGAGTTATTGCATTCCTTATTTTTAAAGCCTACTGTAAATCTCTAGTTAAAACAGTGTGAGTGTGAACTAAATGTAGACTCTCAGGACAATGGAATTGAACAGAGATCTCAGAGATAAGCCCTCAGATTTTGGGAAAGTTAATCTATGTCAAAGAAGCTGGTACCTAAGTGGAGCAAGTAAAGCTTCAATTAAGAAACAACCTTTTATTTATTTTTTATTTGATTGGTGGGGGGTGGGGAGGAATGCTATTCTTCCAAGCACAGTTCAATGCAAGGGTCTTAGTGTTCCTTGGGCACTCAAGATTATCCACATACGTCTTCCTGAATAGCTCTCTGGTCCCAAGCAAACTTTGTAAAATGTTGTGGTTCAGTGAGTAATGTGTCTTTCTTGCAACTATAAGGCTGTGTTTGATAAATCTGTTCCCCAATGTCGTGTGCCAAATATGATCCTGTCAGTACGCTGCATCTGATTGACAACTATTGTCTGTGATACCTAGTGCAATGAGTGGTTTCTTATTCATCACTGCCAGGCATGTATGAACAATATAGCTGGAGTGTGCAAGCACCATAACCTCATGTGTGATCTCCAGTGAGTAGCATAACCAAGTCTGTTATGCTTGTGAGAGAACTCCCATAAGCACAACATCAATAGAAGGTAAAGGTAAAGGTAAAGGCCCTCCCGTTGATCGTCGATTTGCTCGAGCGGGCCCAGTAACGTCTCCATTGGAGACTTTGTTGTTACTGTGTCTGGCATATTGAATACTCTCGGTAGCTTGCCGGGCTCTCCGAGAGGGGCGGAGGAATCGAACTCGGGTCGGCCATGTTGGCCGCTTGTAAGGCGAACGCCCTACCCGCTGTGCTATCGCTCCAGAAGAAAGGGAAAAATATGTGATTTTTTTTGCAATGGTAGTTTGTTATTTTCACACCTCATTTTGATTCACCTAGGGAAAGTTCCTCGTGCATTACTTTTTAAATTACATTTGATAAACAAGATAGTGATCATTTTAGGTTAGCTCCTGTTTTGATTTTTTTTTTTGCTTTTGGGCCATACCTATTGATGTTCAGAAGTTACTCCTAGCTCTGTACTGAGGAATTACTCCTGACAGTGCTCAAGGGGACTGTCATATGGGATGCTGGGGATTGAACCTGAATTGATTGTGTGCCAGGCAAACACCCTACCCGCTGTACTATCATTCTGGTCCCCTCTGGTTTTTAACTATATATAAAAGTTTGATAAATTGTTTTAATTGTTGTTGTATTAGCTTCACTGATATATGCTAGGATTAGTCGAATAGTCTGAGGTCTCTGGCTCCATGGTCAAGCTCTTCATGAACTTAGAGAGGTGTTCTCAGTTTTTCTATTCACTGCAGTGGAGAAGAGGTTGTTGTCTGCCTGTGCTCAGGATCCAATTTACAAGTTCAGGGACTTCCTTAGGTTCTATAATTTAGTAGTATATTATAATATGGAGAACCTGGCAGGCTACCAAAAGTATCCTGCCCACACGGCAGTCTGGCAAACTCCCCGTGGTGTATTCAATATGCCAAAAATCAGTAACAATGATGGGTCTCATTCTCCTGACCCTGAAAGAGCCTCGAATGTGGCACTTTTGAAAATCTCAGGGCTAGGACGAAGGAGACATTACTGGGGCCTGCTCGAGGCAATCAATGACCAACAGGATGACAGAGATCAGTGATAATATGAATGAATGTTAATAAAAACCTAGATATTGTCATTTTAACTTTTATTAGAAAATATTAACATTTTGTGGTTAATTTGTTATAAAATTAAAGTGTGTCATTACACAAGTGACTCTAGTAAACTGAACGTCTATTAATATGTCTGCGAATGCTTTAATAAGACAACTGGATGAGTAAGGACCTACATCAGTCAAGCAATTCTACTTTCCAGAGGCCACTGTTTCAGATTAGTAGGAAAAATTTCAGAAAAGGTCTGACATTTGTGGTGAAGTTGGAGTAGTAATTGCTGAACTACAGTCTCTGTGGAAACCTAGCACAGAAAGAGGTGTTTGTTTTTTTTTCCCCCAAGACTGAATGGGAGACAACTGATGTAGTGTAAGGTCAGATTTTTTGTATTCCAAAGAAATTTGTTTCTTATTCTAAAAGACTATTTTGTAGAGCTGTAAAGTTTTGTTTGAAGGTTTGTTGTAAATTTCTGTATTATCCAGTTCAAAACTTGTGTCAGAGATGAATGTATTCATTCTCTGTTGGTTACCTACTATGTCAGACTGTACCTTAAGTTTATAAATTAGATGTGGCATTTACTTTCTTGTAGTGGATATATTCTAGTGAAATAGCATTACATAACTTTAGAATGTGCAACCTGGTCTTTTGATCTAAAAGTACATTCCTGTAAGGCAGGGATGTAGCCTTTATTTTGTAAGTGGGCGAAAAGGAACGATCTAAGTTTATTCTTTGAGAAATATAGACCAGACTCAGGTGTTTTTGTTTTTTAGTTTGCTTTCCTCAATCATATAACTTATATATATTTTTTTCTTTCCTTTACATGGGGGCGGATTTTTTTTTCAAGGGGTGGGGTGGGGGTAGTGTTAGAAAGCTGTCCTTAGGGCTTACTCCTGGGTCTGTGCTCAGGGATAAATCCTGGCAGTGCATGGGAAAACCAACCAAATGTGCTGGTGATTCAAGCTGAGTAGGTGGGTAGGCTGAGTGCAAGGCAAGTGCCTTACCTGTACTCTTTCTCCAGCCTATGGGTTTTTTTGTTTAGAGCTTCATTCCTGACCTGATTTCTGCATATCTAAATAAAGTTCTGAAACTGAAAAAGTAAAGTAGTACTTGTGGAAGATACCAACGCTGTAATGACTTCAGAGAAAGCCTGGTTTGTATTCTGAGTTCTCATTCTGTTTTTTTTTTTTTCCTTCCCTTGGCCACACTGGACTTACTCCGAGCTGTGTCAGCGTTCATTCCTGCTGGGATAATATCGGGTAGACCATAAGGGTTGTGGTACGCAAACCAGGAGCCTTATCCACTCACAGATTCTATCTCTCTGGCTCCAATCCCGCTCTTTTGAAATTGGGGGAAAAACAAACAAACAAAAAAACCCCAACAAAACCGCACACAAACCCAAAACTAACCTAGATTCTTTGTCTTTCAAATGTAAACGACAAGAACATTTACATAGTACACAGAACCTTTTAAAATGTGCAGATGTGGACAGTGGGGGGTGGTGGTAAGGGGTAGTGGTGGGGAATAGGAGTTAGGGCCCCTGGCTCGCCTACAGCCGAGCCATTAAGCTAGGTCTCATTCCCGCGTCTCTGATGCCTGCGGCATCTCCAGCTGTGACCCAACCCGCCCCCCACTCCATGTGTGAAGAGACTTACACCGCGCTCGGGTATAACGTTGAAAAATGCCAATTACTAATCACGATCTTCTAAATGCAATTTTTTGGAGATGTAGTTGCGAATGAGGAAACGCAACACGGTTCCCAGGAAGGATGGGCCCAGCGAGAGCCCGGGGCCTCTCAGCACCGCCTCACTGAGACCGTGGCAGCTGAGGAGCGGGGCTGGCGGCGACCCTCGCGCTAGGGCGGCAGCGGCGGCCGCGCGGCTGACGGCGCCTCCGGCCCGGAGCCCGGCTTTGTCATCGCCTCGTTACGTCAGAGAGGAAGTCCCCGGCCTCCCCGCGCCTCGCTCTCACTTCCTCCGCGTCCAGGCGAGTCTTCCCACGGGAGCGCGTTTCGGAGCGTCCACACCCGCCGGGGGCCTGCCGACGGCACCGGGCCGCGGCGCCTGCGCTGCCGCCGGCCCCGGCACGATCGCCCCGGCGGGGCCCGCCCCGAGCCGGGCTCCGCGGGCAGCGAGGCGGCCGGTCCCCGGCGCGCGGCCGCCCCGGCCCGCGAAAGCCCCGCGTTTGAAGTGGCGGGCGCGGCCGGCGGTTGGCGGGCGCGGGTCACGTGCGCGGGGTCCGGCCCCGCCCCTGCGCGCTCCGCCCGCTTCCGCCGGCAGCAGCCGCCCATCGAGCAGCGCGGCCGCGGCCCCGGGCCCTCGCAGCCGAGCCATGGGCGACAAGAAGAGCCCCACCAGGTAACGGCGCCGCCGGCCGGCCGGCCGCCGGGGCGCGCGCGGGGCGGGGGGCGCGGCGGGGCGGGGCGGGCCGGGGGCGCCGGGCGCGGCCTGCGGCTGACCCCGCGCCGCGGCGTGGCCGCTTGTGTCCCGCAGGCCGAAGCGGCAGCCCAAGCCAGCGTCGGAGGAGGGCTACTGGGACTGCAGCGTCTGCACCTTCCGCAACGGCGCCGAGGCCTTCAAGTGCATGATGTGCGACGTGCGGAAGGGCACCTCCACCCGGTGAGCGCCGCGCGGCCGCGCGCCAGCCCGGGCCGGGAGCGGGGACCGCGGGGTCGCGGGGCCGAGCCCGGGGTTCGGGGAGGGGGACTGGCCGGGTCGCGAGGCCGAGCCCGGGGGCGGGGAGGGGGGCTGGCGGGGTCGCGGGGCCGAGCCCGGGGGACGGTGACGGGGACTGGCGGGGTCGCGGGGCCGAGCCGGGGGCGGGGAGGGGGGCTGGCGGGGTCGCGGGGCCGAGCCCGGGGTTCGGGGAGGGGGACCGCCCGGCTCGCGGCGTGAGGGCTGCTGGCCGGGTCGCGGGGCTGCTGCCCTGAGGGGACGGGGTGCGGGTGAGGCGTCGTGCCGCGGTGAGGGCTGCGGACCCGATCGCGGGGGCTGGCCTGGGCGCGGGGGACTGACCGAGTCGCGGGGCTGCTCCGCTGAGAGGACAGGGGGTGTCAGGTGTCGGGGAGGCGTGGCTGTCGCGACGGGGTACCTGCCTCGCGCGTGTCGTCGCGTGTCGGGGAGGTGACTGACTCTGGCCGGGCTGCTTCCCTGAGAGGAGGGGGTGTCGGGGAGCTGTCCCGGCAGGGGAGCTGTCCCGTCACCGGTGAGGGCGGCTGGCCAGGTGCGGGTGTCGGGGTGTCGGGGAGGCGTGGCTGACGCGTCTGGCCCCCCTCACCCGTGTCGTCGGGTGGGGGTGACTGACCAGGTCCTAGGGCTGCTTTCCCCAGACAGCGTGGTGGTGGTGTCGGGGCGTCGCTGTCCGGACAGGCCCGCCTGGCTGGTGTCGCGCCCCCCCCCCCCCCCCAACGCCGCCGCATTGTGTCACTGAAGAGCAGTCAAGGGGGAAAACCCACAAAATTGCCTTCAGGAGCCAAGGATGGAATTTAATTTCAGTTTTAATGAAGCGTTAGAGAAGACACAATAGATCAAACTTTGTTTTCGTGTATGGACGTCTGGAAGGGTCAGACCGAGGTGTGTTCGGTGTCTTTATTTCTGTTCTCTGGTGTTGTATAGATCGTGGGAGGTGAACCCAGTCACAGGGACCCGTTTTCGCGGAAAGTATCCGAATATATTTATTTTGAATAGAAACCTATTCTCCAAAGGAGATACAATGACCTCCGCCTGTTTTCAGTCTTTCTTGTATGCTTACATTATAACTCATTCTTTAAAAAAAAATCACTTAAGCGCATTAAGTGGTTAAACAAAATCATCCAGGATATTCAGTTATTGAGAATCTTGATCTACCAGTATTTAAGGTTCTTTTGCCTTAAGAGGAAGATAGCTTTGAATTAATTCATCATAATCCTATGATACATAATCTGTTATTTTGGAAACATGTAGTTTGATATCGCAAAGCCTCAGAAAATAAATTCACAAAAGTTAAGCACACTACTTTTTTCTTTCTAATGAAGTATATACAATATGATGTTATAACTAGATATTAAGTGGAAGCTTTCTAAAAATGAGGGCTTTGACTTTTTTAAATACCATTGTGGCATTTTATTAAATTCTTAAAAATTAGAGACGGTTAGTAATGTAAAGTTTTTAGGATTTATTGCTTCTGACATTTGTCAATCAGTATGCTTTTAATTCCCATTAGATGGGATATATGTACTTTTCGATAGCTGTAAAATCAAATATAACATCTGATAGAGCAGAATAGTAAAAAAATGTTTTTGCTAATATAAACGTTGTAATTATTTTCCGATCCATGATTTATTTTGAAAAGTATCTTTATGCTAAAATAAAGTTGGGTTTGGTTTTTAGATCATATTTGTATCTGTATTAGTACTTTGTACTTAAAGTACTCAATAAGCAATTTTCAGAAAAAATTGGTTTTTGAAGGCCTGAACTGTAAGGTGGAGATGATTATTATAATCTGAATCTCTGGTATGATACTATTGCTTTTTTGTGTTTCCTTATTTTCTTGTAGTCATTAGAGAAATGCTGAAACTAGAATAGCCTATATGTTTATTTGCAGGGGCAGTGAGGGGGGAAGCTGGTGTCCTACTCCATATCCAGTCTTGGGTTTAGAGGAACCCTCAGAAATAGAGTAGGTGATGGCAGCTCAGAAGAGAAGAAACAGGCTGAATCCCTGGCACCTGGAAGAAAAAGGAATATAGTGTACAGGGCATTGGCCCAGACAGAGAAGTGGACTGAGTTTCAAAGAGGCTTGAGACCCACGTGGGCACCCTTGAAATTTTTTTCCAGTACATCTTAGTTCTTGTAGATCCAATTTTTAGTGGTGGAAACAGTACTTGAGGAGGACTCAGAGAAGCATTGTCATTTGGATTGAAACTGAAGAGGCTCTGGGCAACTCACCAGAAGTCTAAGGGACACTCTGTTCCTGAAAGTAAGTGTTCTGTACTAAGACACTTGTAGCTTCCTTTGCTTTCTGAATTGTCTTTCTTTCTTTGTCTTCTTTTAAGTTTGGTCCCAAAGTTAAACCTTAGAACTCAGATTTCTTTGTTGTTTATTATTTTCCTGTTCTGTGCCTGAAATTCAGAGGGGAATCCATGTTTGGCTGGAACAGTGGAATAGGGGCATTGTTAATAGGGAAAAGAATGATTTCCCTTTTTGGTAATATTAGAAAAAACAGGATTAAAGCACTGCAGAATAAAGTTGGGACACAGCAAAAACTTTAATTGTCAGAACAAATAATTCACATGTTAATTAGTAGTTAGGTTATTGCAAGGATAAGATTTGTGTTTACCAAAGCAGACACTGGATAGTTGCAGGAGAGAGGGATGCAGTTTGCTCATTTTTGTGTAGACAGAAAGATGGGATTTAAATCCTTGGGGTGGCACCAGTCTTTGAAATGATTCTTCTAAGTGGCCAAATGTGAGAATGACTCTGGATCATTTTAGACATTTGAAAAACTTTTGTTTTTTGTTTTTTTAAACCTCCAGAGAAGATATAATTCATTGTTTCCTCTTAAAAGTATTTATGTACACAGTTTCACAGCTATGAAGACCCAGGTTCTATCCTTGTTACTGCAAAATTGAAAACAGACTAAGAAGAGAAGGAGGAGAGAGGGCAAGAGATGACGGACAGGAGGTGGAGAAGAGAGAGAGAGGAAAGAGAAGAGATAGAGGAGAAAGAGAAGAGAGAGAAAGAGAAGAGAGAGGGAGGTGGGAGGCAGGGAGGGGAGGGGATGGAGGAGAGAGAGAAAAATTTTACATGTTGCTCACCCAGTTTGATCCCCTGCCTGGCATGGTACCCAGAGCATCATCAGGAACAACCAAGCACAGAGATGGAACTCTCAAACAATGCTGTGTATGACCCAAACCCCCATCACCAAGAAACAAACAAAACCTAGAAACAAAACAAGTTTAGTTCAGATCCTTTAAGTTGCAATAGAAGATCATTTTTTGGTTATATCCATGAAAGGGCTTGCTTTTTTTCTATGGAATAACTGTCCTCCCATTGTTCATCAATTTGCTCGAGTGGGCATCAGTAACATCTCCATTGTGAGACTTATTGTTACTGTTTTTGGCATATTGAATATGTCACAGGTAGCTTGCCAGGCTTTGCTGTGAGGGTGAGATACTCTTGGTAGTTTGCCGGGCTCTCCGAGAGGGGGAAGGAATTGAACCCGGGTTGTAGGAATCGAACCCAAGTCGGCTGTGTGCAAGGCAAACGCCCTACCTGCTGTGCTATAGCTCCAGGTCATGGAATAACTATGGAATACATTACTCGTAGTAGTACTTTAAATTAAATGTTATTTAAATTAGCTTCTTTTACTGTCACTCTCACTGTCACTGACCTCCTGTTGTTCATCTATTGCTTGAGCTGTCTCAGTGACATTGTGAGACTTGTTACTGTGTTTGGCAAATTGAATACCTCACGGGTAGCTTGCCAGGCTTTAGTGTGTGGGCGTGATACCCTCGGTAGCTTGCCTGGCCCTCTGAGAGGGCCGGAGGAATTGAACTCAAATTGGCTGTGTTGGTCATGTTGGCTGCGTGTAAGGCAAATGCCCTATTTACTGTGCTATTCCTAAATTCATAAATTATACTTAAAAAAATTATGCTCTTTTGCCTTTTATGATTATATACTCATCACCTACTTCAGTGAATTAGTTTTCTTGAGGCGTGCTCTGGCAGTCTCCAAAGCTTTTTATACCAGCACGTCATGGGCATCACAGTCTAGAGCAGGGGTTTTAGCTGTCACATTGTCTGTTTGAAATAGCATCCTGAAACAAATCAAGATTAAAAAAGAGTGGCCAGAGAAATTAGCACCAATCTCTTAAACACCTTAACCTCTGCCATTATTCAAGAAATTGTTATTTCTACATTTTTGATATCTGTCCTTGTGCATCTTGATAGAAGTTGTAAAATTATGCTGAAGTAATTTTATGCATAACTTTGATTGCTAGACCCATTCTCGTAATATGTCACATAATTTCTTTGTTTATTGATGCCCTCTAAACTTACTTTTGCCTTCCATCTTACTGAACCATAATCATTCATTTGGAGGGAAGGGTACCACACTTGGTGGTACTTCGGGCTTATTTACAGCTCTGTGCTCAGAAAGCACTTGGGACCATATGAGGTGACTGGAATTGAACCCAGGTCCTCTGCAAACACCATACCTTCTGTATTATCATTTCAGTCCCCTGACCAAAGTCATTCCAGGTGAGTTCTCTGTAATACGCCCCTTTCTTTACGCGACATTTCTACCTAATGTTCTATTTCTTTGTATCACTATCTTTTCTACACATTGTTTATTTCTACCAGCTAGCCCTTTCCTTAGCACTCAGCTCTCCCATATCTATTCCCTCTACTCTCTTACAGTTTTCTTCTTTTATCAGTAAACCAATAAATGCAGAGCTTGTGGCATTGTTCCTGACACAAAATTGCATATAACACTGTAGGGCGTAAACACACTGGTATACCCATCAACGTGTGCATGTGTGTGCACAAGTTATCTCCAATGGATTTTCCTTTCTTGCTCTTTACTTTTTTGTGATATACACACTGTTGATAGCCTTCCATCAGCTCCTTAAAATATCTCTCGGT